CCACCCACTCATCATGCATAATGGGAGTTTTAGTTTGAGTTTTTCCTAAACTGCGGTTTATTAAAACCACCCCGTTATTACTATTATGCATGAATTATGAAATATTTCTCATGACAATGAGTGTTTTAATGTTGATGATCTTTTTAATAGCTTAAAAATATAGTCATAAGTTGATAATAATTGCCTTAAAAATGTAGTAAAAACATACAACAAACTTTGTTTTTATGTTTTTTATTTTAGCATTTTCCAACAAGTATCTAATAAGGCTTAAACCATCCTAACTGTCTGTCACAAACCTGCCCCATATCGCCCCACCGTTGTTTAAAATGGACAGTGGTTCTTATAACCTGCTCTACTAGGGTGCCGCTTGTTCGCCCTGTATCATTTACATGCCACGTCATCAAATAGTCCAACCGCGATTTCAAACTGCCCACCCACTCGCCATGCATAATGGGAGTTTTAGTTTAAATTTTTCCTAAACTGCGGTTTATTAAAACCACCCTGTCATTACTATTATAAATGAATTATGAAATATTTCTCATGACAATGAGTGTTTTAATGTTGATGATCTTTTTAATAGCTTAAAAATATAGTCATAAGTTGATAATAATTGCCTTTAAAATGTAGTAAAAACATACAACAAACTTTGTTTTTATGTTTTTTTTTTTTTTTTTCCAACAAGTATCTAATAAGGCTTAAACCATCCTAACTGTCTGTCACAAACCTGCCCCAAATCCTCCCGCCGTTGTTTAAAATGGACAGCGGTTCCTATAACCTGCTCTACTAGGGTGCCAAAAAAAACCGCTTGCTCGCCCCGTATCATTTACGTGCCACGTCATCAAACAGTCCAACCGCGATTTCAAACTGCCCACCCACTCGCCATGCATAATGGGAGTTTAGTTTGAGTTTTTCCTAAACTGCGGTTTATTAAAACCACCCCGTCATTACTATTATGCATGAATTATGAAATATTTCTCATGACAATGAGTGTTTTAATGTTGATGATCTTTTTAATAGCTTAAAAATATAGCTGTAAGTTGATAATAATTGCCTTAAAAATGTAGTAAAAACATACAACAAACTTTGTTTTTATGTTTTTTTATTTTAGCATTTTCCAACAAGTATCTAATAAGGCTTAAACCATCCTAACTGTCTGTCACAAACCTACCCCAAATCGCCCCGCCGTTGTTTAAAATGGACAATCTTGGTTTGGGTTTTTTTTCAAACCGCCATTTTGTAAAACCACACCGCCCAAAAATTACTAAACCGCCCGCCTGTGCACCCTATGCTCCACCGGTGGAGCAAACTTGAGAGTCTCACCTAAAGCTGTAAGTTTGGACTAGACAAAATAGGTCGGCCCCATTGTAGCCCCGTAGGGCCAGGCTAGACTAATGTTCAAGCCCAAATTATTCAAATTGGGCCAGACCGGCCCAAAAGCTAATTTTTAGATTTTAAGATTTTTTAAATATCTTATAAAATTTAGATCAGCCCTAAATTTTTAAGGCTTTAGGGCCGAACTGAGCAAGTCCTCTCCCATTTAGGGTTGGCCCGGTCTGATCCAAAATTACATGTGGGCCTGAGCGGCATGAATTTTCACCCTCTAGTCTCATCATAAAAGCTCTTATTTTTTATTTTTTATTTTTTGAAAAATAGAAAATTTATCGTTAAGAATGCATGAGTTTGAACCTTTACCATTTACTCTTAATAAATATCATTTTATTAATGTAATTATTTAATTAAAAATATTATAAATTAAAAATAAAAAGTAAAAAACCTGCCTTATAAACTTTCAAAAAATATTTATCAAAATTAATTTTTTTTAAGACTTTGAACGGCACATAATTATCACGATTTCCGATTTTCCCTCCAAAGAAAAATTTAAAACAATCCACGTTGAACAACGCCAAATTATCACGATTATAAAGTTTGTCTTTACTCGCACAAAAAGTCCCTGAATTTACGGTGGAGATGTATTTATCCACAGCCCATTAAATGTTAGCAGCTGTCATTCCCGTCTACTCAACCGTCTATCAATGGTCCTCACAATTCCACGTCTGAGATCACTCAGAAAAGCGAAGAACACCATAAAAATAAGTACTCAGCAGCACCGAAATATTTCATCTTCACCACAAACTCACTGGTATATAGACCCCACTCTTTTTACAAGCGCTAGAAATAAGTGTTTCTTACAGACAGAGATGTCTTGGTGGTGGTGGTCGCCGTCGGTGTTCCGATCAACGATATTCCAGTGGCCGGACTCCATCGCCGCGTACTTACTTCCTGAAGGAATCTCGAATTGGGACCGGCAATGGCTGCTGCGCGGCTGGGAATCCCTAACCCTGTCGATCGTGGACGACGTCGTTTGGACGGTGATCACGGCGTTCGAGTCCGTAGCCCTGGCCTCCATGCTCTGCTTTTTCTTCCTCTTCTGCGGCTGCACTATCTGAACTTCCCGCCGGTCCGAACCTTCCAGAACAATCTCCGACTTGACGGTGAGAAATCCGTGAGTCGGATTCGCCGGCGGCGGAGAGGCCGATGCATTTCGCGGGCGAATAGATCTCGCGACTGGGGCATGTGAAAATTAGGTCGATTTTTATTTTGTTTGTTTATGCGCGTGTAATTTACTATCTGTCTGGTCATTTTCGGGCCAAATTAGTTGTTAGGGAAATATCCTTCAGTGGAAGATATTTTCCTCGTTTTGTGTTTATTTACATATTTTGTTATTAAAATTATATAGGCATGACATGATATGACGTGAATTTTTAATGTGAGTTGAGATATAATTTTATATAAAAAAATTTTATTATGATAAAAAAATTAGATGTAATTTTTTATAAAAATTTTTAATTAGAGTAAAATTAAAATTTAAAATTTAAAATGAGCATGTTATAGTTTGTTTTTATTTTCCCATTGCATTTTTGTCGTATTTGTCATGAAATCCTTCGGATTGTTTCTGATAAACCGTGTTCTTATTGTTGCAAAGTGAGAATTTGAACACGAAAATTGTGGACCATTTAAATAAAAAAAAGGGAGAAAGAAGGAAATAAGTCAAGACTTGAGATGAATTAAAATTAATAGGTTAATAATTTACATAAGTTAATAAATAGGTCAAATTACTCTTTTCGTCCATAACTTGTCTAGTTATGAATCATAACTTGACAAGTTATTGTCCATAACTTGTCCGGTTATGAACCATAACTTGACAAGTTTGTCTATAACTTATTTGGTTATGAACAATAACTTGATAAGTTATGGCATATTAATTTCTATAACTAAAAATTAACCTATATACTTTTTTAAGCTTTTCATATTGGCCTATTTTCTACTATTTTTCTAAAAAAAAAACTCTAGAAAACAAGCGTCTTTGTATTTTACCGATTGATAGTTTGGAGAATCTACTTTCATTTTGACCCAATTGTATGCAATTCATTTGTGAAAAAAAATTATAGCTGGTTTCCGATTGTTTATTTGAATAATGTTTTCACAACGGATATTCTAGAGTTGTTATGGATTGTTCAGCGGTTACCTTTTTTTCTCTTACGTTGTAACATGTAAGCGTTTCTTATTTTCTTGCTAGGACGTCACATGTAGTCATTCATTATAAGTTATGAACTTCCACGTGCTCGTAAATTGACAGTTTTTCTTACAGTTTGTTCTAAATTAATCTAGTCATTAGACTAAATCCTCATTTTCCTAAACTAAGGGCCAATTTGGTGGTGTTATGCTGTTAAAAATTTTTATTGGTGTTATGCTGTTAAAAATTTTTATTGTTGTATTGTTAGTAATAAGTTGTAATAAGTTGGTGTGTCTAAAAATATATAAGTGTTTGGTAAATATTTTTACAAAATTATTGTGAATAAAAGTAAAAATTTAAGTGTTTGATAAACTGTATATAAAATTATTGTAAAAATATATAATGACGAAAGTAGACATACTTTAGTACATATTTATAGTTAGTTTTATTTCTAATTTTATGGTGAATATTAAAAATATAAAAATATAATTTTTGAATATAAAAATAATAATTTTAATTTATTAATTAAAATATTTCTTAAAAATAAATTACTTTTATTGATAGGAAATAAATTATTATCCACTAAATTTTTTATTTATTGTTGTTATTTTATACATTTTGATAATTATTAAAATTATTTGAATAAAATTTAGCATATAGTGTACTTGTTAAAGGTTTTCAATTTTTAAATAATTATTTTAAAAATGAATTTTTTAATTTGGTATGAAAAAAGTAAAATAAGAAGATTAAAAATTAAGTTTTATTATTAAGGTTATTTTTTGTAAATTCTGACAAAGTGAGTTGAAGCTGCTATGAAAAAACGACTCCTAACTTCTTAAATTAGCAGTTTTTAAAAGCTGTTGGACAAAAGTAAGAATTATTAAACACTCTAATATGTTGTAGTTTCTTTTAAAAAGTTAAATGCAGCCTCTAAAAGTAATGTCAAACGAGTCCTAATAGGATTGAAGATCCCTGAACTTTTGAGTTAATAGTTGTTTAGGTGTCTTTCAATTCACGGGTTCAAATTATGTGATTTAAACTTTTTAGCTTGAACTTAAGTAGTTAAATTTTGTGACCTAGATAAAGAACTCATTGAATAAAATTTGTAGTGGCGAATGATAGTCCAATCATAACTATCCATTATAATTTAGACAAATTGCAAGAATAGTGTTGGTAAAAATAGGAACTAAGGGGTTTGGAGGAGCTAAGGGGTTTGCTTGGGCTTTTTGGTGTAGCTACCTGCTAAGGTCTCAACTCGATTGCGATCAACATTAAAGCATCAATAGATTAGTTTTCAGTAGGGGTGTAATTCAGCCGGATAGGGTCGGGTTGAGCCGAAAAATTGAGCCGACCTACCCAGTGCGGGTTGAGAAAACTTTGGGCTGCGACACTCTTTTTTGGGCTGCGACACTCTTTTAAGCCCACAAACTCGCAACCTGTCGGGTGACCTCAGGTAGGCTCGGGTTACTCGGGTTGGTGGAGAGGAATGCTTAACAAAGCGAGGAGGGTGTTTGATTCAATGCCAGAGAGGAATGTGATTTCGTGGACGGCAATGGTAAGAGGGTATGTGCAAGAGGGGATGATATCTGAGGCAGGGTCACTCTCTTGGCAGATGCCTGAAAAGAATGTCGTGTCGTGGATGGTGATGTTGGGCGGCCTAATACAAGAGAGATGTGTTGATGATGCTCGTCGGCTATTTGATGAAATGCCTGAGAAGGAAGTGGTGGTGAGGACTAACATGATTTACGGGTATTGCCAGGAAGGTCGTTTGGCTGAGGCCAGGGAGATTTTTGATGAGATGCTGCGTAAAAATGTCATTTCTTGGACAACGATAATATGTGGGTACACACAAAATCAACGAGTAGATGTTGCTAGAAAGCTATTCGAAGTCATGCCTGAGACAAATGAGGTGTCGCAGACCGCGATGCTGATGGGGTACACTCAATGTGGGCAGATACAGGAAGCTTCGGAGCTTTTTGATGCAATGCCACTAAAGCCAGCTATCGCTTACAACACCATGATTCTTGGGTTTGGCCAAATTGGGGAGGTAGGTAAAGCAATGTGGGTATTTGACCAGATAAGAGAGAAGGATGAAGGGACATGGAGCGCGATGATCAAGGTTTATGAACGGAAAGGATTTGAATTGCAAGCACTTGAATTCTTTTCTTCCATGCAGAGGCAAGGAGTTAGGCCAAATTACCCGACTCTAATCAGTGTACTTTCCGTTTGTGCCAGCCTTGCAAGTCTTGACCATGGTAGAGAGATTCATGGTCAGTTGGTGAGATCCCACTTTGATCATGACGTATATGTTGTCTCGGTTTTGATTACTATGTATGTCAAATGTGGCAACCTGGAAAAAGCAAAACTTGTTTTTGATAGTTTTGCTCCAAAGGATGTAGTTATGTGGAACACTATGATCACAGGTTATGTGGAATACTATGATCACGGGTCAGTCGGGACAAAGCGAGTTCAAAATGTCCGCCCCGCCCCTCAACCCGTACAGTGCGGGTTGGGACTATTTAGATCTGAATTTTTTTTATTAAAAAAAAAAAAACTTACGCTTTCGGGTCGGGTCGGACGGATTATTTGGGTTCGGGCTCATTTCTTACACCTCTAGTTTTAAGTACAATTATATTTTGATTTTTTAATATAATTGTTAGTATTATTCTTGTGATTGTCCTTCAAAAGATTATTATGTCCGATGCATGTGTATTTATGTTCGGTTTTTTTTTTCGGATGTTAACAATTGTATTGTTATTTTACCCAAATTTTAATTCAGGGAATTTTTTTACCTATAAACTTGGGTTAGAGACTAAACAGACAATTAAAAGTTAGGAGCCTACACCGCCATTAACCTTTTTCGATTATGATTCCTAATCCTAACCCAATGTTTATAAAATTAGAGGATCCTTTTTATTTTTGTTGGGATTTAAATTGGTACTCTTCAAATTTGCAACTCATTTAAAAAAATATATCTCATCAATTATCACTAGGCAACACATGTATGGGTTCTCGAATTTGCACAACTCTCTCTCTCTCTCTCTCTCTCTCTCTCTCATAGCTGAAATATCTCATATCGGTCACTTTCACTTGGTCATTTTAATATTAATGAATTAATGGATCCCAAATGCTCTAGTTATATGGCACGTGATTGTTTTGTCGCAGGCTACGAACAAAAGAAAATCCACTAGTTTAATTATATGGCACGTTTGCAGAAAAAAAAAAAAAAAAAAGAATTACATGGCACGTGATTTGTTCTGTCACAAGCCACAAACAAAAGATAATCAAAGAAAAATTGTGCACAACTTATCGTTCTTTAACAAATTACTATTCAAATTTCTAATTTTAACAACTAACCCCCTCAACTTAATAAACAGCTGTAATTACTCACATTTGATAAATAGATGTTAAATTTTTTACGGAAACCCCACTTGCATCTCATGTGTGACTTTTGGAAGGGGTTTTTGATTTTTTTCACACTCTAAAAGCTGGCGTAGAAAAGGGAAAAAAAAGAGACTTTACGAAAAAATCCCCATAAATAGGGAAAATTGGGTTTTAAAATTTCGATTACCACTGACGACTCAGATTTTAGTTTTTAGCAACGGATTGGTGAAATCGACTTGGGGCTTTCAATCCTAATTTTCCTTTGTGTCTTTTAACACCAAAATCACATTAAATGAGTGTTGGATTCACCCAATCAGACGAATGGCGGCAACACACAACGAGGTCTTCCCAACGTAGTAGAAGAATGGCTGATGAAGGGAATCTACTCATCTTCACGATCTGAGTCCAACTGAAATGATGGTGCTCCTCACCGCCATCGACAAGAAGAAATATGATGATTGTGACGATGGTTACTCTGGCCACCTCAAATGGTAGTGCTCCAGTGGGAATCAGATAGGGAAAATGAGCTGGTTTTTTCTCTGGTTGTTCTAAAAATCTATAGGAAATGGAATCACTCAAATCAGTTGTGGCATGACGAAGATAATGCAGTTTAACGTGAGGTTGCTTTCGGGCCTTTAGCCAGCGAATGTGCGGGCTTCCGGCCAAACCAGCAAATGCAAAATACGTCCCTAAACTCAGCTTGTCAAGAGCTTTAAACGGACACTGTCGACTTCACCGAGCCTGGAAGTTATGACTCTGTGAGGAGGAGAAGAAGAAAGAAAAAGGAAAGGAAAAAGGATGGGGAACGTAGTAGATGGAAGCTTTTATTATTATTATTATTATTATTTTAATGGTTCTTTTGACCTGGCTAAAGAAGATGGATTATTGAGATTGAAATATTTAAGACTCGTTTAAAAAGTACACGCAAATCACGATTTGAGTTTATTGGTGAGAATTTTATGAGGGAGAAAATTTTAGATTTAAACTTTTTGTGAGATAAAAAAAAAAATTGTAACAGAATGATGATTTAGGTTTGAGTATAGTTTGCAAACAACCCTTTAAAGATCAATGGTTAAGATTGGTTTGTGTTTTATTATCAATATTTTATTTAATAATTAGGCATATAAAATATCGGTAATACCCTTTTAAAATCTCACATGAGACTAGCACATGTCTAATTCCAGTTTTTTAACATGTGTTAATCAAATGGATTAACGCAACTGTTTAATTGGAAATTAAAGAGATAGTTTATTAAAACACGACAAATTTAGGGGGCATTGTGCTAAAAACTAAAAGTTGCATGAAAAGTCTTTGAATGGGGTGATGATATGAAAAACACTTTTATTTTAGGCCCCTCTTTTGTTCTTCAGAAGGAAGCAAAACCCATTGTACCAACATTAGCACAATATAAAGCCCCATTGTATCTTCACATATTAGTTGAGCCTGCCACAAATCCATTTTTCAACGAAATTGCAAAAAACACATACCACCATGTTTAAAATATTTAAAATATTCTTTATAGAATTATATTAAACAACTGACAGTAGTCATTAGTGGCCACTTATATTTTACCGTGATATTTAGAGGTAATCCACTTGGTGACTATCATAATATTTACAGCCTAGAGGCGACTGTCAGTATCCTACCCACGATACTTTGCATGTTGGATCTTTCAATCCTAATTCCACGTTCTAAGAATCATCATATCAAATTACTAAAAAAATAAGTTAGAACTCTGACATGTTTCCATTGATGCAGCCTTTAGATATTCAGTAGAATTCTCTAAGACAATGAGCATGATGCTTTATGATTTGACATATTAGGGACCATAACTTAAGTTTTTTTATATATTGTCCTATTAAGCTCCCATTAAACCTAATTGGGTCAATACTGGGTATCCACCCATTAAACCTATACTCTGTTAGGAGACTAATTAGACTTTTCATAATTAGATCACTTAAATTAACCTAAATAATTAAATAACTTAATATAATTATTAAATAAATATGTGGCCCATAATATAAAAAACTCATGTTTCCTAACATTGCAAACGTCGATCGAAGACTATCAGAGAGCGTGATACTTTATAGTTGTCGATGTCGTGTATCGGAAGCGACAACTCTTTTGATCTCTCTCAGTCTAATGTCGGTGACGGTTTCTCTAACTGATGCTACTGCAATGTTTTCCCAGTCGTGGGAAGGGCTAACGCTGTGGAGGTCATAAGTAGGAGAAGGATCTTTCTAGGGGTTTGAATTAATTTGGAGAAAAGTATTCTTGATTATTCAGTAATTATTTATTCATCAATGGTCACCAATTAATAATGGTAATTCATTGACTCACAGTTTTACCCAATAAATTCATTAATGAAGCATACTTTTGTCTTTTTATGTTTATTATTAATTAAAAGCAGTGATTTATTCAATATATTTTTAAAATACTGTGATCATTTATCTATACTTATACCCTTCTCCGAGGGTTTTTTCGTGGGAGTGGGGGACGCGTGCGGGGCTTCGTACGTTTCTCTTTCTCTTTTACCTAAAGAAACGTTTTTTTTCTTTTTTGTTCTCGCTTCTTTTTTCTTTTTACAGTACATTTTTTTCCCTTCTCAAATGTGACTTTTATAAATATTTTTTTTCTCTAAATATTCATTAAAATAATTTTTTCTCATATATGTCATAATCAAAATCTTTTTTTAATGAAATGACCTGTTAATTTTTTTTTTTACTATATACACCACCAAATAAATAATCTTTAATATCTTATTCTCAAATGCGTCTTTACAGAAACATTTTATCTGCAATTTTTTTAAATAAATTTCTTTTATATGTACTATTAAATAATTTTTTTGCCTAATTTATCATTAAAATTTTTTTTCTTTTAATGTTGCTCTATTTAATATTTTTTCTACTGGATCTATTTATAAGAAAAAAATGATAAAATGCATAAAGTAAAATTTTTCAAAAAAAGGGACCTCAATAGTCAATAATAAGAAAAAATAAAAAAAATAAAAAATTTTGAATACGCATACACCGAACGCGTGTTTCAGATAGGTTTACAAAAAGCTCTTGCACTAGCCATTTTTCTCAACGGCTAAAAAATTGACGTGAATCTTTTGTCGTAAACATGGTATGAAAGAAGAATGTATAGTTGTAAATGTAATCCAAATTGGAACAGTAGCATGGTCGAATACCATTCCTGAGACATTTTGACATATAATATTGTGACAAACCTGTTAAGTGATTGTCATTTGTAGTTGAAATTAATTTGTATTTACTGAAATTTATTAAAATTTTACGAAACATTATTTTTTAAAGACTTATGGTGGGCATAAATTTTGAATTTATTTTCTTGCTTAAAATATTCATACCTTAACATATCTGTTTTTTTAAAACATATAGATGTATCTATATGTATATACTTAATGCTTAAGACTTACTTACTTACAGTCATAATCCATAAAACCATTTAACATATAGTCTCAGAATCATAATTAGCAAAACTATTATAACAAAAAATTGATTGCGAAAATAATTGCGAGCGGTATCCATTCTCTGATCTCCACATCGTTCGTCCATTTGCCATCAGTCCATCAAGTATTAGGTACAGGTTGCTTACCTACAGTATAAATATTCTATGATGAGTTTTCGCTCAGTAAATATAAACTATTTCTCGCAAAATAACTGTAAATTCACATGAATAAATATGCATGAGCCAATTATACTTAATTATGATCATGTCTTATTAAATTCTTATTATCTGATCTTATCTTACTTACTGATAGGCTCGAGTGCTCGTACCACTTGAGCGCAATCATCAGAACGTGAGGGTTTGCAAGGTCCCCAACGACACCGTGATTATAAACAAAACTGAATGCCTCCCTCTTAGAGAACTTTATTTTTTTTCTTCTCCCTTGCGGAGCCTGAATTACCTCCCTCTCAGAGCCTGGTACGACACTCAACTGAGATTATTCTTATAAGTTCTACTTGACTTATTAAGGTGTATGCAATATGGCATGACATCGCATAAAGCAATATGGTATCCATTATCCGATCTCCATATCGTTCGTCCATTCGCCATCAGTCCATCAAGTATTAGGTACAGGTTGCTTACCTACAGTATAAATATTTTATTTTGAGTTTTCGCTCAACAAGTATAAACTATCTCTCGTAAAATAACTGTAAGTTCACATAAATTAATGTGCATCAGCCAGTTATGCTTAATTATGATCATGTCTTATTAAATTCTTATTATCTTATCTTATCTTACTTACTGATGGGCCCGAGTGCTCGTACCACTTGAGCGCAATCATCGGGACGTGAGGATTCGCAAGGTCCCTAACGACACCGTGATTATAAATTGAACCGAATGCCTCCCTCTTAGAGAACTTTATTTTTTTTTCTTCCCCCTTGCGGAGCCTAAATTACCTCCCTCTCAAAGGCTGGTACGGTACTCAACTGAGATTATTCTTATAAGTTCCACTTGACTTATTAAGGTGTATGCAAAATGGCATGACATCGTATAAAGCATAAACATGCATATATAACATGTGTAACTTTTTCTTTAAAATCTATTCATACTGTAGGCGAGATTCCTACTCACCTGATTTATAGAGCTGGAATCCACTTTTCGCCAAACAACCTATTCTCTTACTCGCTTACTTCTGAAAATGAACACCCATTGAGAGTGTGAGATTAACTGTCGTTTGCTATTCTATTTTAGTAGCTTATGAAGGAAATCTAACCCTTTATTTAAGGAATGTATTCCTTTCCTTTACTGAAGGACGATTTACTATAATGATCAATTTATTAAATCCTCAAAATCTAATTTTCCTTCATTGTCCTTAACATACATATGTCTAGATTGAAATCAATTATCCAATCTAGTAACCTATTCTCCATAATTTTTCTTATTGAACTTGTTCTATCACTAAGGCCTAATTTGACTTAGAAACTTAGTAGCGGCGTTCTAAACTCTTAGACCGTTGAAATTTAGACTTAAGCGGGGTCTCTTGAATTATGTGAGCGTTGGACCCATACCTAATCTCCATAATTCTAAGCACCTAACCCATTTGGCTCGTAAGTTTCCGTTCAGATGTTTTTGCTCGAAAACTGTTAAGGTTTTAAAAGAAACTATCATTCAATTTTTTTTATAAAACTGATTACTCACTTATCTAGTTACAAGTACTAAAATCCCAATATAAAATCTCTTTTGAATACCGACTTTTGAAGCTATTCCACAAGTCATTTTACGGTTAGTTTGTAAACCACCGTGAAACTATGTTGTAGAAACCCTTTTTTTTTGAAATCTTTCTTCATGATTGTTCTTCGTTAAAGCGAGGTCTAAAACCATAGTATTTTACTGAAATCACATCTTGGGTTCTTTGATAAACTTTTGTTAAAAACTAAAACTGTTTCAGTTTTGTCCGATTAAAACTATACAGTTTCAGAAATCTACATTTTACTATATCTTAGAGTCAGATTTTAGAAATATATTCTTTACGGGAAATTCTTCATCTCGTCGGGATCTAAAATTATCATTTTCAGAGAAAGCTGAGATTCGGCCTCTAAAGGACCCGTTTGGCGGCCATAGTGGCTGCCATTTTTTTTTTTTTTTT